TCGATGTTCCCACCTCGCCCCCCTCGCCCCCCCCCCCTTTCGCCCCCCTCGCCCCCCCTGCGCCCCGATCGCTCCCCCTTTGCCCCCCCCCCCCCCCATTCGCCCCCATGCAGCCCCCCCCGCCCACCTCGCCCCCCCTGGCCGCCCTCCCCCCATGCCGGTGCCCTTCAGGTATCGACGAGGCCCCGGTGGAGATCGCCGAGGGCGACGACGCGGCTGCCGAGGCCGAGGCCGAGGCCGAGGCTGAGGATGTCGGCGACGGGATCGAGGTGCTAGAGCACCTCAAGGATTCGGTCGAGGGCTCACTGCGGCTCAAGCGGCTGCTCAGCCGCGACGAGGACGCCGACAGCGGCAAGAGGCTGAGGCTCGGCAACGACGACGAGCAGCGCCCCATTGTTCAGGCGAAGATCAGGCAGCTCATGACCAAGTGGGATGCCCTCCAGGACACCATGATGAAGCACGTGCTGGAGAACCTGTCCCTCGAGGAGCTCTCGCACCTGCTCTCCAGCGGCTTCGTCCCGAACAAGATGGACGCCCGCAAGAGCCCCGCGGAGCTCACGGCCACGCACTGCAAAAAGCTTGCTGAGCAGAAGCTGGGCGTGGGCACGAAGGTGGACGTCGTCACGGCGTTCCGGGCCAGGTGGAAGCTCGACGCCGCTTCCGAGAAGAGGCTCCGCGAGCTGAGCCACAAGGACCTCAGGTTCGTGTTCGACCGGTACGACTCGCTGACGCCCCTGGACGACGTCATGACCGCGGCCGTGGACGAGCTCCCCGAGGACGACACCACCATCGGGGCGATGCCAGACGGGCCCGGCGTGAAGACGGTAGGCAGGTTCAACAGGCTCGAGCTAATCGACCCGCTCGCCGATTCTGCTGTCTTCGGGGACGCCAACCTGACCTTCTCGGTGAACCTGGCCGTTCACCGCCAGGATCTGGGCCACGTGGGGCGCGTCATCGCCACCACGTTCGAGGAGGTCGACACCCTGCGGGAGCGGTACCGGGAGATCGACGAGAGCATCAAATTCCTCGAGGAGCACCATGCGGAGGTCTACCACGGCGTGGACTGCACGCGCATCGCTATCGACCCCCGTTTCGAGGGCATGGAGGGCACCCTCGGCGCCGTTTACTACAACTACCCGCACTCGGGAGCGATCCAGGGGTTCTTCGACAGCCACCCCATGGTTAACTGGAGGCACGAGAACCTGATGCGCCTCTTCTTCCGGGCGCTACGGTCCTTCGTAAAACCGGGCGGGTCTGTGAAGGTCTCTTCCAACGCCAGGGCCGTCGGCGTGCGGTACTCCTACATTGTCGGCGGTGCGCTAGAGAACGAGTTCCTGCACGTTGAGACAATGCCATTCTTGGAGTGGCATCTGCATAGGTACGGCCGATCTTACGGGGACCGTCGAGACGTGTACAAGCGTCCAGACGCGAAAAATAACCAGAGCTATAACGCACAGAACGCCGACACCGACATGGTCTACTGCTTCGTGTATTCGCCATCCGGCAACGCACTCGGAAAGCAGCAGGCCTCAGGAGGGAAAAATAGACACACACACACACACACACACGCAAACAAATGCCGATTTCCGACGCAATACGGGAAGGTTGGGGGATGGAGGGGAAGACGAGCAGCAACAAAAACATTGACGCATGTCGATCATCCTGGACTTTGTTTCTCCCTGGGCCCCTTGTGAGGTCCGGCTGCCGCCGACGCTGAAGACGCTCAGCCAGTGCGTCGACGGCCCGTTCTGGGGGCGCAGCCCGGCCGACAAGGCTCGGCTTGCTAAGCAGCTGCACGAGCGCTTCATGAAGGAGGTCACCGGCACGCACGTGGGCTGACCGAGGCGCCGTGGCCGTGGGGCCCCCGGGGGGTCCCGGCGCGGGCGGCGGTGCGATGCCTCGCCCTCCGAGCGGCCGCGCCGCCGATGCCCTCGCAGAGAGGCTGCTCGCCTCCAGGGCCGCGAGCGGGGGGAGGCAGAAAGCGGCTGCCCGCGAGGGGGGCTCCTCGTGCCCGTCCGGAGGGTCTCCCCCGGGCGCCTGCTCGCCCGCCTTTTTTCCTGCCCCTCCTCTCCTCGGGGCGCCCTGGCCCTGGCTCGCCTCCCAGGTTGCTGGCCTTCGCTGGGTCATTCTCCTCCTCCTTATCCTCCTCCTCCTCCTCCTCCTCCTCCTCCTCCTCCTCCTCCTCCTCCTCCTCCTCCTCCCTCCGTCCCTTTCCCCCACCCCCCGTCTTCACCGTCCTTCCTCCCTCTCCCCGCCGTCCTTGTCCCTCGCTCCTGCTCCTGCTTGTCCGTCTTCCTCAAGCGGTGCTTGCGCCAAGGGGTTCTTACAGTCAACCCGCATAGCAAGGATGAGCAATTGTACAAGGTTACCCTTCCTCGGCGGCGAGCGAGGTGGGGAACTGAGAAAGAGAGGGCCTTCTCAGAAGGCGGCAGGACTTCTCAGAAGCCCTCGCGCCTTCTGAGAAGTGTTCTGCGTCTTCGGAGAAGGCTTCGAGACATTTTCAGACGGCTGCGGAACTTCCGAGCCTTCTGCGAAGGCCCGCCCAGTCTCACTTCCCCCCTCGTTCGCCGCCGACTTGCGTCCTTCCCCTTCGGTCCATCATTGGCCGCTTTCGCTGGCCACGCGCCGCTCGCCAAGTGTCGGCATGGTCTTCCAAGGCCCTCGCATCCTTCTCGCGCGTCCTTATTGTACGGGTTGACTGCAGGGGGAGGGGCACACCCCTCCCCGAATGCAGGCCAACCAAGGCTTCCGGCCTCCACCTCCTCCCCCCTCCACTTTCCGGGCGCAGCCAAGAGGGGGGTGATGCCTGGAGGGTGGGGATACCATGGCCAGGGCCATGGTGTCTCCTCAGATTTTACGGCCCCCCGTCTTATACAGTCGGGGCGCTGACGAAGGAACCCTTTTCGTTGGGGAGGGACTCGGAGTTCCTTGATTGTTTAACAGTTTGCCTCAGGTCTTCCTGAGGTTTTCCATGGGACATCGATGTTTAACTTATGAGAAAAAGGGGCCTCGTTCCTTATTTAGGGTTCCTTAGGTCAACGCCCCGACTGTACATCAATGCCTTCCCTGGCCCCCCCTTTGCTTCGCGCCCATGCCTCGGGCCATGACCTGCGACCCCCCTCTCGTGGAGGCCCCCGCTCTTCCCTCGCCTGGGGCGCTCTCGGGGCCCCTCCCCGCCCCCTGTTCCCTTGAGATCCGGCGTGGCGAAACATGATCCCGGCGAAGCACCCAGCCCATGTCAGGAGGGGAGAAACACAGACACAGTTAATCGTCGACCCCCCAGAAAATGTAAGGAAACATGGGAAGTGGGGGAATACGAAACCCCAGAAAATATAGGAAAAGATGTGGGAGATCCTGCTATTTGTGTGTGTATTTATTTGTGGGTCCCTGGACCCCTTTACATTCTATGGGCTGGGAAACGACCGGTGGAGTTCCAGATGGTGTTGCGAAACGTGCGAGGGGTCCTCCTCCTCCTCCTCCTCCTTCTCCTCCTCCTCCTCATCATCATCGTCATCATCATTCGCCTCCTCCTCCTCCTCCTCCTCCTCCTCCTCGTCCGCCTCCTCCTCCTCCTCCTCCTCGTCCGCCTCCTCCTCCTCCTCCTCCTCCTCCTCGCCTCCTCCTCCTCCTCCCCCTCCTCCTCCTCCTCCTCCTCCTCCTCCTCCTCCTCCTCCTCCTCCTCCTCCTCCTCCTCCTGGGGCGGGTATCCATGTGAATCCTGCCATTAGGGCCCTCGGTGGAGCTGCCCAGGGGGCCACGAAACGTGTAAGGGGTCTGCCGACATGGAGCGCGTGCCCGTGTGAACCCTGCCACTGGGACCCTCGATGGAGCTCCCTATGGGTTCACGAAGCGTGTGAGGGGCCTGCCAAACTGGGGCGGGTACCCATGTGAACCCGGCCACTCGGGCCACCGGTGGAGCTCCCTATGGGGCCACGAGAGGTGTGAGGGGTGTGCCGAAATAGGGCGGGTACTCATGTGAACCCTGCCACTGGGGCCCTCAGTGGAGCTGTGAGGGGTGTACCGACATGGGGCGGGTACTCATGTGAACCCTGCCACTGGGGCCCTCGGTGGAGCTGCACATGGGGCCATGAAACGTGTGAGGGGTCTGCCGAACTAGGGCGGGTACCCATGTGAACCTTGCCACTGGGGTCCTCGGTGGACCCCTCTATGGGGCCACGAAGCGTACGAGGGGTGTGCGGAAATGGGGCGGGTACCTATGTGAACCCTGCCACGTGGGCCTTCTGCTGAGCTCCCTATGGGGCCACGAAGCGTATGAGGGGTGTGCGGAAATGGGGCGGGAACCCATGTGAACCCTGCCACTGGGGCCCTCGGTGGAGCCCCCTAATGGGGCCACGAAGCATGTGAGGGGTCTGCCGAAATTCGAAAACGCATAAGAAAAGAGGAGGACTAGGCCTCCTGCATTGCTAGAGCCGTCGCTGGGGCCGTCGGTGAAACTCCCTAGGGGGCACGAACCGTGTGAGGGGTGTGACGGACATGTGATAATAATGATGAGGGTGGTCATTGATATCAAGATGATGATGATGATGATGATGATGATGATGATGATGATGATGATGATGATGATGATGATGATGATGATGATGATGATGATGATGATGATGATGATATGATGATGATGATGATTGATGATGATGGTGATGACATGATGACTGATGATGATGATGATGATGATGATGATGAAGATGATGATGATGATGATGATGATGATGATGATGATGATGATGATGATGATGATGATGATGATGATGATGATTGATGATGATGATGATGATGATGATGATGATGATGATGATGATGCTGCTGCTGCTGCTGCTGCTGCTGCTGCTGCTGCTGCTGCTGCTGCTGATGATGATGATGATGATGATGATGATGATGATGATGATGATGATGATGATGATGATGATGATGATGATGATGATGATGATGATTATGATGATGATGATGATGATGGTGGTGGTGGTGGTGGTGGTGGTGGTGGTGGTGGTGGTGGTGATGATGATGATGATGCTGGCGAGGAACCGGGGAGGAAGGAAGGAGGGAGGAGGAGACGAGGAGACGCGCGGCGCTGCGAATTCAAAACGAGGAACCAACTCCACAGGAGGATTGGGAACGACACCATAATGACAAATCACGACCACAGCCCCAGATCCCCTCTGCTTGCCGCATTTTTTGAGGGGGATCGGCCTGTGATGGTCCCATGGCCCGAACGCCCGACGAAACCGCCCGGCGAGGAAAAGGTGCAATGCCCGGATCTCAGGGCCGTCTCCATGTGCGCCCTCCCCCCTGCCCCCCTCCTCTCCCATGCACCCCCCCGCTCGCCATCCCTCCTCGCCCTGGCCCCTGCCCCGAGCCCCCCCCCCTTCGTCCTCCCTCGTCGCCCCAGCCCCTCCCCCCGAACCACATAATTACCCAGACCTCCCGACGTCATATTTTTTTCATAACGTGGACCCCCCAGAGGTCTGCAGCTCTTCGCAGTGACCGGCTTTTCATCCTGAGCCGTTCTGTTGACGGTCCCGAGGCTTGGCGAGGCAGAGGCCGAAAAATTGCAAAAACCTCCAGTCGTGATTTTGTTCATGACCCGATGGGATCATTACTCGGCGGCGACATCCGAACCCTACCCTCGCCGATCAACGGTCCTGGCAACTCCACAGGCGGCGGGGGTACGGCTCGGAATTCGTCGGACCCGTGGCGAAATCCGAAACCCGCCCCCGCCCCGCCCGTCGATGCCGAGCAGAGTATCGTAGAACCGATGGCTGGCGGGGGTGTGGTGCGGATGTCGCCACCCATAATGATGTTGCCCCCGCCCCACGTCCTCCCTGTGAATAGAACCCGTGTAATACCCTCATATATGTACTCCTTGTTCTCCTGCTCCTGGCCGTCTGGGCTCAGGTATTGGTATCGATCAGATCAGACGGTTGATCGCACAGGAGGAAAAGATCCCCATCTTTCCCTCCTATCCTCTGCCAACGGATCAGGGGTTCTGCACCTTTGTACTCCAACCCCATACACGTCCTCCCTCCTCGGCCCCCCCCCGACCCGTACGTGGAGGGTTCCCGGGGCCCGGGCGGGCTCACCCCCCCGCCGGGGGCCCCGCAGCAGGAGCGCCGCTGCTGGGGGCGACCGGCGAGCTCCTGGCCAGGTGGCCGGGGCCAGGAGAAGAGGCGGAGACCCTGAGATCCTGGCGATCCAATTTTTTCGAGCCGGGCGTGTTCGCTGTTTTTTCGAGTCCCGGGCCCTCACAGATCGATCCGGCTCGGAAAATGACGGAGAAAGATGGGGTCGGGGGCTCCTGGCGCGGATTTTCACGAGGTTGCAAATTTTTCGCTACGTCGGATCTCAGGGGAGGAGGAAGAGGCAGGGTTCGGAACAGAAATAGATAGCGAGCATTCATGCCACATTCATCCGTCAACGCCTCCCCCTCCCCGACCCGTACGTTGAGGAGGAAGAGTCAGAGGGGAGGAAGAGGCAGGCCTCGGAGCAAAAATAGATAGCGAACACTCATGCCACATTCCTCCGTCAACGCCTCCCCCTCCCCGACCCGTACGTTGAGGAAGAAGAGTCAGAGAGGAGGAAGAGGCAGGCCTCGGAACAAATATAGCGAGCATTCATGCCACATTCATCCGTCGACGCCTCCCCCCCTCCCCATGTTCAAAGTGTCAGAGCGTGAATTACCTACCCCGCTTTCGCTTCCAGGCAAAGCCAAGTCATACCACGCGCCTCCTCGTCAAGCGGCCTGACCAGTACAGGCCGTAGTTTGGCATCGTTTGGTATCTCTTGGAAGCGAGGGTGGTCAAAAGCGAGGTAGGTTTGTTTTCCCCCTAAAGTTGGCGGTGGGTCTGATGAGTTGCACCTCGACCGCAGTCTCCCTCGCGCGTGCCAACTTTGAGCTTGGGAGGGGGGGGGAGTGTTCAGTAATTGTTTCCCCCTACCGTACCTCATACCCTTCCGCCGTTCTCCGCTGTTCGGGCCTCCTGGGAGGCCTTCGTCGCCACCGCTGGATTCGCCCCGAAATCCCAGTCAGAACGCACCCTGGGAGAGGTCCCAGCGGGGGGCAGCGGTGTCGGTGCCGTTTGGCGTCCCCAAAGAGATGGGCATCGCGCGGGCGTGTGCGTTTTTCCTCGGCGAGGACAGCGCCAGAAAGTCTGGTCTCAAGTCGGGCATGTCCCTCTAAAGGAGGAATATGCACAACAGTCAACACATCGTCGGGCGACGATGTTTCTAGTATTTGTTTTGCGTGCTGTTGCATACTGATTGACTTCTTTTATTTTTGTCGCCCAAAATCCCCCTGTAGGAGGACATGCCCGACCCAAATCTAGTCCAGCTGGGAGCATCTCGGATCATCTCGCAGCACGAAGCCGAAGAACGCCACAGGGGATGGATGTCCGAGCGATGGCAAGATCACCACAGCCACGACTCAGTGCATTCACCGGGAGGGCCCCTCGGGGAAGAGCCCACCGACCTCGACGTGAACATTTTGGCCGAAGTTGTGGTCGATTTGTCCGCCCTGGGACGCTAGACATCGATCACAACCAGCTCTCCGCTGGTCGGTGTTCCGACGAGCGTTGGCATGAGCAGGACACCCCCAGCTTCTGTCCCCGATGTAGTTATGGTCGCCGGCTGTCCCCGCGAGGTGGCGGGCCCTGGCGGAGACGGCGGAGGAGGAGTCTGCCCAGGGGTCTGTCGCCGCAGCGGGGAGGTGGGCGCCCCGAGCATCCGGCTCGAGACTCTTGGACGTGTCCGTCAGGTCTCGAAGGTTTTCCAGCCTCGGGCATCCGTTCCAGCGGCGCCGCCTCGCTGGGAGCGTTCCGGGGGTGCGCGGGTCGTCCCGAGCGGCCGCCGGAGGTCGGCAGGATCTCAGGCACAGCCGCGCGCTGGCGGGTTCCCCTCGGCGGCCTGCCGCTGTTTCCGCCTGCCCCGAGGAGGAGCAGGCCCGGCTCCACGGGCGTCTGCTCGAGGACCGCACCGGGGCGCAGGGCGTGAGACTCAGGCCTCCTCCCTGCCATCCACGGGCATGGCAAAACGACGACGCTGGCATCGTGGTGACAATCGACGGCGCTCCCAAGGGGGGGAGAGGTCAGAGGGGCGGGCCTTCTCAGAGGGCTCGGGGCCCTTTGGCCGCCCGAGAAGCTTCCCGAGCCCCCGCTTCCGAAGACAGGGACGGCTGCTCAGCAGGTCGGAGGGCTTCCGCGAAGCCGCGCCGCCTTTGAGAAGGTCTGCCCCCTCTCACTTGCCCCTGGGCGTGCCGCCGAGACTGCGCACTGTCGTGTAACATTGCATGTCTTGTTCAAATGTCATGTTTTATCTAATTATGATATATGCACGTATATGTATAGATACATACATATGTATGTATATTAGTAGTAGTAGTAGTAGTAGTAGTAGTAGTAGTAGTAGTAGTAGTAGTAGTAGTAGTAGTAGTAGTAGTAGTAGTAGTAGTAGTAGTAGTAGTAGTAGTAGTAGTAGTAGTAGTAGTAGTAGTAGTAGTAGTAGTAGTAGTAGTAGTAGTAGTAGTAGCAGTAGTAGTAGTAGTAGTAGTAGTAGTAGTAGTATTAGTAGTAGTAGTAGTACCATTAGTAGTATCACTATTATTATTATAGTAAAAGTAATAATAATACATAAAAACAAAAAACCTTCGCGATCTTCCACGGCGCCAGCGCTGGCGCCGTGGGGGATCGCGACGGGCGTTTTTCCGAGTCGTCCTGTGGAGTCGGGTCCTCGTTTTGACTCAGCAGCGCCCCCCGTCCCCCACCTCCCGCCTCCCCCATCCTCCTCAACACATCTACACAGTCTGAATACTGGTCTCCTCTCTCCCTAACTCTGTCTGGAGAGTGTCCCTCTTGTTTATTTACACAGGATCTCATGGTTTGGTTTTTCTTATGTGTTTTGCATCCGATCGTTTCTGGCGATTCCAAAATAGTGTTCCCGTTGCAGCGCCGTCCTCATTTCCTCGCTTCGGACATTCAAAATCGTGCTCCCGCTGCATCGCTGGCCTCGTTCCCGCGCCTCTGGTTGTTCCAAATCGTGTCCCCGCAGCAGCATTGGTAGTGCTGTCGCTGTAGCGCTGGCCTCGTTCCAGTGCTTCGATCCTCCCAAATCGTGCTCCCGCTGAAGCGGTGGCCTTATTCCCGTTTTCGATCCTGGCCTCGTTCCCGCGCTCCAGTCCTGCAGTTGGCATTCGAAAGAGCCCACATCGGGCAGGCACGGTTGCGGAGGACATGGAGCCTGGAGCTGGCAGTCCGGACAGGCCTTGTCCTTTCGTAGACGGGCCATGTACCCTCCAAGCCATCCGGTGCCATGCCACGGCATGAAATGCGATGCTGTCTTGCGCACCGCTGTGCGATGCCATGGTTTCTCAGCCCCGCCACCGCCAGCCCACCCCCGAAGACGGGGATACTTAAGCCCCTCGAAACCAAAGGAAAATCACATATATAATCCATGTTTGCCCCACTCCTCCCCTCCCTCCAATGCATGTGGGAATGAGCCCCCCCCCCCCCCGCTGGATGGGTACGCCCGTGAGCCTCGCGAAGGCCTTGCGAACGGGATCGTCCCCCCCCCCCCCTCCTGTGGTCGTGGCCCTTGGGGTGGTTGGTTCGTCGTCGTCGTCGTCGCCGTCGCCGTCGTCTTCGACCCTCGAGGAGGGCCGAGGGCAAAACTAGGGACCTCGATCCCCCCCGCCTCGCTCGAAGTCGGGCCCGTCCCTCTACAGGAGGAGTGTTCTAAGAGAGCCAAAAGACGAGTCTGGGGGCGAGATTTTTTTTTACCATTTTTCGAATATTTTAGGGCACTGTGTGACTAGCTCTTATCTTTCGTCCACAGTCCCCCTGTAGGGGGACAGGCCCGACTTGAGCCTCGCTCCTCGAGCCTCCGCCCTCGCTCCCTCGGGGCGTGCTGGCCCCGGCCCCCCCTCGGGCGGCGGGCGGCCCCCGCCCCTCCCCCCGCGCAGGAGCGGGGCACCGGCAGCCGCGAGTACTGGCGAGGGGCGCTCGCCTCGGCGTGCGCGCCCCCCCCCCCCTCCCACACCACCCCACCTCTCTTCGCGCCCAGCCTCTCCCCACCCCCCTTTCCAACCTTTTCCCCCCTCCCCAGCCTGTCCCCTGCTGCAGCTCTGCCCCCCCCCCCCCCACCCTCTCCCGCCCCCCCCCCCCATCCCTCCCCCAACACACACACACACACACACACAACAACCACAACAACAACAACAACAACAACAACAACAACAACAACAACAACAACAACAGCAACAACACCAACACCACCACCACCACCACCAACAACAACAACAACAACGACAACGACAGCAACAGCAACAGCAACAACAACAACAACCACAATCACAACCACAACCACAACCACAACAACAACAACAACAACAACAACAACACCAACAACAACAACAACAACAACACCACCAACAACAACAACAACAACAACGACAGCAACAGCAACAACAACAACGACAGCAACAGCAACAACAACAACAACCACAACCACAACAACAACACACACACACACGCCCACACACACATGCACACACATGTACACGCTCACACGCACACGCACGCGCACACGCCCAACACGCACACGCACGCGCACACGCACAACACACACGCGCGCACAAACAAGACTCATACACAAACACACAACGCACAACACAACACACACAAAGCCTACACATCACAAATCACACACACACACACACGCGCACACACATGCAACACACAGACGCACACACGCACGCACACTTGTTTTGGTCGGCGGCTCCCAGGCAACGGTCAAGGAGCGAAAGCGGCGTCCGGGTGGCGGTACGGGGCTAATTTGCGAGACAGTTGCCGCCAGAGTCGGCGGGCAAAGCTCGCATCTGCAAGACACTCTCGCAGTTGCACGTGCACAGAACAAAGTGCACTAAATTCACAGGGCTGTACAGGCGCTGCAGGCTGAACCATTCAGCGCCCAGTCCTCAGTACTCCGCCTCCCAGTGCCGAGGGGAGCCATGCGGCTGTGCCCAAGGCGCAACTGCGATGCCGATCCCTGGAGCGAAGAGATCCGCTGGCGTGGTGAGCACCGCCGTCCGGTGGTGATGACGTCGGCGCTGCCTGCCAGGGGGGTCCTGCTGCAGTGGAGGCAAATGAGAGGCCGGTGGAGTGAGTCGCCTGTGGGGCGCCAGACTCCGAACGCCCACGACGACGACTGCAAGTCAGGGAGCAGCTGTCGCGGAACATGGTGCAGCGCACTGGCCGGAAGCTGGTGGATGAGCCTGGGGTGCTGTTCCTGCTGCGGAAGGCTGAACCACTCACTCCGTGGCGACCCAACACCCGAGAGACAACCCCACAGAGCATGAAGGGAACAAGCCACTGTGGGCCACGCAGCGCGTGCCGGCACGGCGCCAGGCCTCAGAGAGGGGGGGGGCCCGCAGGCGAGGGATGCGCCGCCAGCGGGGGGAGGGAGGGGGGGGCGGCACTGGTGATAGTGCTGCCTTCAGCGGTGCCATAGGGCGAAGCGCCCGGGGGGAGCTGCACTGTGGAGGACATGGGGGCCAGGAGGCAAACCAGGCCCAGTCCGCCGATTGGCACTGCCCCCCAGACCCGTGACCCTACACACACCACGAGGTCCTCCAGGGCCGAAGCAAACCCCGCTGAGAGTGGGAGCCAAACCCCAAGAAACGCGGAACACGGGCGGCCTTGGGAGGGGGGGCAACCGCCCAGACGTCTGATAGCACGTCTGGCAGGCCCCGAGGCCGAGGGCGGGGGACACCCGCCAGGCCCGAGAGGGGAGAGGCGAGGCGGAGCACCGTCTCGCCCTTCGGCCTGGCCCCGAATCCGAGGGCAAGGGGCCATGTTCATCTCTTGGGTCATTCTCGGGGGTCGCAGCTGATCGCCGCTATGATCTCTCTTTAATGTCCTCGGGGGTCGCAGCTACTCGCCGCTGAGATCCTGGGGGTCGCACCTACTCGCCGCGAGCACATGCGTGGAAGAACGGGGGGTCGCAGCTGACCGCCGCTAGGATACATTTTACATCGAGGGGGTCGCAGCTAATCGCCGCTGAGGTCACTGTTGAATGTGTGCGAACGGGTGATGGCCCACCGAGGCCGCAGTCCACTGCGAACGGGTGACGGCCCACCAGGGCCGCGGTCGACGCGGAATGTGGGCCAGCAGCGAGATGCGCCTCCGGGGGTGGGTCCTGGGGAGTCGCAGCTACTCGCCCCTGGAGCTGAAGCTGCCAAAACTGAGGCCTGAAACGACAGGCTGGTAGGCTGGCGCGCAGGGGGGGTTGCTTCTGTCGACGTCCCCCTGTCACCGAATATCGCCGCTATGATTTTTATTTGAGGGTCGGTGTGGCCGGTTGCGGTTCCTTTCGTTGACACGGGGGTCGCAGCTCACCACCGCACATCACAATTTGATGGTATGTGTGCCCCCTGAACCCAGCGCTGCCACTGACGACGCGGGCACCAACTTAGCATCCCACATCCCGGAATGCGCCGGAGCATGTGGGTCACGATTGAATGGATAGTGCCTCCGCCTCCGCTGAACCGACAGCACCGGGATGCAAGAGTACCTGAGCCCCAGAGGGCGGACCCGAGTCCAACAGCAGACACCCCAGGAAGGACAGCGCCGGGATGCAAGAGCCCCAGGAGTACCCGCGGGACACACACTCATATCCCACTGCAGTCACAGATCACGTTGGCCACCTGCCGCCATGCTGGGCGGGGAGGAGCTGCAGCCAGTGCACACCCTTCACGCACCTGCTCTCAGCGCAGCAACTGGTGACAGTGGGCGCCGCGAAGATGAAGCGTGCACAGGGGGGTGGCGAAGGGCGGCCCTTGGCTGCCAGAACTGGGATGCAAGGGTGCCTTGAGCCCCCGTGAGAGGCCCCGAGCCCGTGGTCCAGGCAGGCCCCCGCGTGCGTCCAGGGTCGCTGTGTCCGGTGGCGGTCCCTTTCGTTGACTCGGGGGTCGCAGCTTACCGCCGCACATCACGATTTGATGGTATGCATGTCCCCTGATCCCAGCTGCTCTCAGCGCTGCAACTGATGACAGTGGGCGCCGTTAAGACGAAGCGTGCACGGTGGGGTGGCGAAGAACGGCCCTTGGCTGCAGGGTCGCTGGGTCCGGTTGCGGTCCCTTTCATTGATTCGGGGGTCGCAGCTTACCGACGCACATCACAATTTGATGGTCGGTGTGTCCCCTGATCCCAGCGCTGCCACTGACGACGCGGGCTCCAACTTAGCATCCCACATCCCGGAATGCGCCGGAACATGTGGATCTCTATTGATTGGATTGTGCCTCCGCCTCCGCTGAACCGACAGCACCGGATGCAAGAGTACCTGGGCCCCAGAGGGCGGACCCGAGCCCGAACGGCAGACGCCCCGGGGAGGACAGCGCCGGGATGCAAGAGCCCCAGGAGTACCCGCGGGACACACACTCATATCCCACTGCAGTCACAGATCACGTTGGCCACCTGCCGCCTTGCTGGGCGGGAAGGAGCTGCTGCCAGTGTCCACCCTTCACGCGCCTGCGCCTGCTCTCAGCGCTGCAACTGATGACAGCGGGCGCTGTGAAGACGAAGCGTGCACGGGGGGTGGCGAAGGATGGCCCTTGGCTGCCAGAACTGGGATGCGAGGGTGCCTTGAGCCCCCGTGGGAGGCCCCGGGCCCGCGGTTCAGGCAGGCCCCCGCGTGCGTCCAGGGTCGCTGAGTCTGGTTGCGGCCCTTTCATTGACTCGGGGGTCGCCGCTAACCGCCGCGCATCACAATTTGATGAAAGGTGTGTCCCCAGATCCCAGCGCTCTCCTATGACGGCCCTCCAGGGTCGCAGCAAGCCGCGGCCGATGTGAAACTGCAGTGTGACCAGGCAGCGGGGGGGGGAGACATCGGGGGTCGCAGCTAGTCGCCGCATGGGTCAGAAGATGGAGGAGCAGTGAAGGTGCCACTTTCCGCCTCCGCCACACGCGCTGCGACGCCCGCCTGGCCCCCAAGGAGAGAGGCGGGGGGAAGCCGCCCCCCCCTCCCCCTCGGTAGGCGCCCCACCCGTGGGAAAGGTGGCGCACCCGTCGAGCGGGAACAGTGCTTGCTGCCATTGTCAGTCCTTCGCGCACGCTCAGATCCCTCTGCTGTGAAAAACCACGTTGGGCCCCAATGCCGCAGGCCGCGTTTTGCTGGGCAGCAACGGGCCTGCTGCCAGTGACCACCGCCCTCGCGCCTGATCCCCGCGCGTGCGATGCCACGAGGTGGGGCAGCAACGGCTACTGTGGGGAGACGGCCCGCCATTGTTTTTTTGTCTTTCCTGGGTGCCTGGGTGTTCGGGTGGCCCTTTGCCGCGTGGTGATCCCTGCTCGCTCCGCCGCTTCGACCCGGGCGCAGACGCCGCAGCCGAGCCCAGTCGATGTCGAGGCCCACCGCGTCGCTGACGACCCGTACGTCGCACTTGTGGCTGCGGGGGGATTCCAGGAAGAGGTGGCAGGTTTGCGGGTCTTGCCGAAGCGGGTCGAGCGCGCCTTTGCTGCCAGGCGCGGCCTGCCGCTTGGCGAAAGCGTGCCGGGTGCCTGTGAACATGTTCCCAGGGTGACTTGGGGCCGCCTTATCGCCTCGGCGGGTGTCTCCCCGGGAAGGTCCCACTGGACGTTGTCGAATTCTGTTTTGTACAGCTGCTGTCCCTTGTCGGGGTCCGTGGGCTCTGGCCATTGGCGCGGGTCAGGCCATTGGTGCTGCCGTGCATTCTGGCCGCAAGTCTCCGGCGTACCGGCCTCGCTGTCCTGGCCGGAGGGCTCGCGATCTGCTCGCGACAGTTCCGGCCGCGCGCCTGGCGGGGCTCTGCGGGGAGAGGCGGGCCGCGTAGTTGGCCGCCGGGCGGGGGTCGGATCGTATCCGGCAGCCAGGGCGGACGCTGCCCTGTGGCGTGCGGGGAGAGGCCGCTTTCGCTGGCGTTCGCCTTCGGGCCTGTGCCCGCCGTCGCTCCCGGGTGCACCCCCTTCGGTCAACGCAGCA